GCACTCTCTCTGGCAGATGCCCTGCCTGCCTTCTACTCATCCCTGAGAGTTTGAGAGCATTGAGAGCGTGTCCTCAGGTTTAGAGAGGTGCTGTCCAAAATCAGCCCCATGCAGGGCCAGACACTGCATTCTTCCAACATCTGAAAGCAGGGAATGACCATTGGCCCCAAAGAGGTCACGAGGCTGGGGCATCACAGGGACCTGGCTGAAGGCATTGGACCCGACTTTGCCTGCTCCATCTCCACTCTGGCTGTGTTGCAAGGGGCCTGCTGTCTCTCCTTCCCCATTGCTGGGACTGGGGCAGGAACTTTTCCAACCCAAATATTTTCACTGAGCTCTCAGTCACGAGTCTTTGGCTTCCCTAAGGGCTCGGTGGCTCAGTGCTGTGGAGGAGAGGACCCTGGTGCCCTGCTCACCCCTGGCATGCTCAGGGCCTGCCAGAGCACACAGTCAGCAGTGGGACATGCAAGCACGTGGCATGGGGAGCATTGAGAACTAGGAGGGGTGCAGGAAAACATTGGGGTCTCTCACCTACCTGAGTGTTAATGTGCCTGGGGAGAGATAGGGAATGAGAGCTTCTGCCCACGCACAAGTCGTTTGCTTTCGATGCTGTCCCTCTAAGACATCACTTAATGTGACATTAATTAGTTAATGTTTGCAAAGTGCTTTGAACATGAAAAGTGCTGTATAAGTGCTGAATATTAGTACTAATTATTATGGCATGGAGGCTGGTGCTGTCTGAGGAGCATTCCCCACACTTAATTTCAGGCCGATGCTGCTTCGCTGCCTCATTCCATAAATGCCAGACAGAGAAGGGGAGAAGCATCTGCACCCTACGATGAAGGAGCACCTCATGGAGTTGTGCAGAGGGGGCGAGCCATGCACCCCTTCACTCCGGGCAGGACATTGTGTGGGAAGTGTAGCCACATCTCCCTAGTGCCTCGCTGGCACAGGTGAGGATGAGAGAGCACTCTTGCCCCAAGCTCTGCAGCGGGCCAGGATTGGAAACATCGCAGGGTGAATGGAGGAAAGGCGGGGGGGTTCCTTCAGCTTATCCCACCCATGCCTGAGCGGGAGCACTCAGCACTGGTGGAGGCTTCAGAACCAAGCAAGGAGATGAGGAGGAGGTGAGAAGGTTTTGGGGTCTGTGCACTAGACAGGGTGGGAAGGCAGCTACCTCCTAGATGTGCACGTGGCAGGGCCAGGAGCTCCCTGGTGTCCCCCAGACAGGCTCCTGGCCTGCTTTGCTGCCTCTCCCCCCGCGCCCTCCTTCTTGGCGAGGCCGCTGCTGAGAAGGGTCCCTGGAGGAGAAGCAGAAATGGGTCGGCAGCTGCCCCCAATTACCTTGGCAGTGAAGTGTCCTGCCAGCTGGAATGCTGGAGCCGGGGTTAGGTGTACCAGGGGCTCAAAGAAGAGGGATGAGCTAGAGGAGGTTGTGCTGGAGGGGGTGCAGAGTGGGGACCCACTGGGGGATATGGATGCTGAGCACAGATATCAACATGTGAGAGATGCACTGGGCAGCAGGGAGAACTGCAGTGCTGTGATCACATTGCAACCCACCAGTGTCTGCTGGGACTCCTGGAGCCAGCTGTGCCTTCCTTGCTGCTGCCAAATTAACTCCCATCTGCTCAGTCAGCTTGAGGCTTCACTTGTCTGCTGTGGGTCACACACAGAGAAGCTTTGTCACTCAGGTGGCTGTCCTTCCATGTCATCCCTCGAGCTAGTGGTGACAGTCTGATGGGAATTCTGGTCTGCTTCAGAAGGCCATGGAGGGTCTCATGGGAAGTGAGAGCCCAGTTCAGGGTGAAGGGAAGCTCATTGGTGACACCCTTGCTGCCAGTGGTGAGTGGGAGGTGAGGGGACGTGCCAGGAGCCTAGTCCCCTTTGTGGGAATCTCGCCTCCCTGCTCTGCTGCCACCTTACCTGTTCCTGGGTCTGCATCTCCAGCTGTAAGTTATTCCCCTGCTCCGAGCTCCTACGCTAAGCATTTCCACCAGGCACCCACTGCCACCCCAGCGACTGAGGAAATTGCCATGAGTGCTGAATAAAATCCCAAAACAATGCTGGGGTCACATTATTTTTCCTTTTTGAGCCCTCCAGTGTGTACGAATTCCGACCTTGCTGGCAATTCTTGGCTTGCCATGAAAGCCACTGTTCCAGTAGGAATTGGAGCATCAGCCTTTATGGTATCTTCACCCCAGGAAGAATGGAACAGGAGGGAAGATTCTGGAGGCTAAAGAGAGGCTGGATCAGATGTTTTGGAGGGCAGCAGAGAAAGCTCATGTATGACTTGAGTTTACCCATGCTTACTTAAAACAAAAAGCTGTGGCAAACATTCTCCTCTTGCCTCATCCATTCCTATATCTCGAAGACCATCTTGAAGCAACACCATCCTCTGAATTGCCAACGAGGATGAACTTGTCCACAGCAGTAGATTCTCTTGCTGGATTTTGAGGTACTTTTCTGACACTACAAATCCCCCCCCCCCCCAATAAATCCACATAAACGAGGACCAAGTTATAAAAAAAAATCTTTATTTCATGTACCAGGATTTTTTTTTGTCATTTTCTCTTTTTAAAATTTTTTTCTTTTTAACAGTCTGAAAAAAACCCACGAAATAAAGAAAATGGAGGTTGGTTTCTTGGACTGGTTTGAACTGGACATGAGCAACACCCTGGGGAAAAAGCTTCCCCGCCAGCCCTTGCCTCCTGCACACGCTCTCCCGGCGCTCCCCCGCACTCTCCCCTTCCCGCCTGGCCCCGGGCGCGCTCAGCCCTGTGAATGCTCTCCAGCTCCGAGCAGTGTTGGGTGGGGATGGAAACCCCAACGCCACCTTCCCTCTACGCTGGGATCTGGGGAACTGGCTTTAACTTGTTCCTCGGGGGGCATTGGAGGGGGTGGATGTCCCCTGTGAATCGTTCTGAAGGGGCTGGGGGGCCACGGGAGCAGTGTCAGCAGTGGCGTGGGGTCTGAACACGCAGCCAAGGCGTTCACATCCACCTCTTGCCCTGTGATGCCGTTTTTGGGGGTGACCCCGTCCCTCTGCTGCCCCCCGCCCTACTCCAGAGCGGGGAAGGGGGGGTGAAGCAGCAGTGGGTCGGGGGGAGCGGGGAGGATCTGGCTGCTTTAAAGCAGAATCCCCGCTGGGACCTGGAGCGGGGACTGCGCAGCTCCTAAAACTGGAGCAGCAGGAATGGGGACGGAAAAAAGTCGAAAAGTGGGTCTGAGCTGCCGAAGGGCTCAGCGGCCCCATCCTGCAAACTCTCGGCTTTGTGCCTGCCCCGGGCGCTTCTGCTTTCGGGGGGCAGCCCCAAAGGGGTCCTGTACTCGCCCTGGGCTGGCCGGTGTCTGTGGGTGTCACAGAGGCACCCCATCACCCCTGCTGCCACCTCCCCTCCCGCCTCCACCGGCAGCGGCTCTCGGGGCGGGAGCTGCAGCAAAAGCCGTCACCGCGGTGCCCCCTTCCCCGGGCGGCAGGGAGGGAGGGAGGGAGGGAGGGAGGGAAAGAGGGAGGGAGAGAGGGGGCAGCAGCCAGGCCAGGGGGCCCGGGGGGGACGGGGGGACCGAGCTCGCCTTGCCTCGCTGCTGTGGAGGAGGCCACGGCAGTCGGGGACCCCAGGAGAGGGGTGGGGAGGAGGACAAAAGCCGGCGGGCACGGGGACACCCGCTGGCTTGGCACCTGTCCCCGGCACGGCTGCTGGGGCTCGGCAGCTCTTTGGGATGGGGCTGGCAGGCTGCACGGATCAGGGCCAGGCAGCCTGTGGCCGGCTTTGGGTCAGGGTGTGCTGACTGTGCCCAAGTGAGGATGGGAGCGATTTCGGGGGGCAGCAGGGTGGCCTCACCGTGCCCCTGCATGGCTGCGGCCCCACTGATGTGACCCAAGGGGTATCTGGGCAGATTTGAGGGGTGCATAGCCACCCTGGAGCCTCTGGAGCATTCACAGGAGAGCATGCGCCCACCAGGGCACGAGTGTGTGAGCATGGGCACACCTGTGCGTGAGTGCTGTCCCCCCCACAGCATCCCATGTGTGTCCCCCCCACAGCATCATCACCCTGAAAGGATGGGAGCCCCAGCGACCCTCCACCAGCCTCCCCCCACCCTCTACCTGTGCCTCCCACACAGCTCCCTGCTGCCTCTTTTCTTTTCCTTTCTTTTTTCACAGTTTAAAGCTGAAGAAAACAAAAATTAAAAGAAAAAAATACTATCTGTTCTTCTTGCAAGTAAATCCACTTATTATATTTACATTTATTTATAGCTGTTGTTTTATTAAAAAATTGCCACTTTATTTTTTAAGAAACCTCTTTTTTTTTTTTTTTTTTTTTTTTTTTTTTTTTTTTTTTCTCTGCGTGTGTCTTTATTTACTGTGTCTGTTTGTTTTTTGCACTGTCACCGTTAACCCCAGGGTCCCCAGGGCTGGGGACTCCGTGGAGGGTGACTCAGCATCAGCTCCTGCGCTCCCTGGGGTCACTTTAAACCTCTATGGACCTGTGGAGGACGAGCGGATCCCCACGGATCCCAGGGGAACGGAGTGGATCCCCATGGGTCTCGGGGGAACAGAGTGGGTCATGGCTAACTCCGGTACCCAGGATCCTCCGTAAGTGGCCCAAGGACACCGAAGTCACTGGAAGCCGAACCCCCATTCTCTGTTCCCCAAGAAGCCTGTGCTGGGTTAAAGGTTAGTGGGAAACAAACCATAAAATAAAAGAATAAAACCTCCCCAAATTAAAAAAGCTGCCTCCTCCTCCTCTTCCTCCCACTTGATTTATTGTCATTTGTTATTTCTTGGTTCCCTTTTATTTTTTAAATTGTTTTTATTAAATGTTAAAATAATGGTACATGGGAAATCATGCATTTTCTTTTAAATTTATTTCTATTTTTTAAATCTCTTTCTCTCAGTTTTAAGGTTTTTCTTTTTTTTCTTTTTGCTTTTGCTTTTTTTTTTAAGAATTTTTTTTCACTGTTGTATCTTTCCTCATGTTTCCTTTTCTTTTGTTTGGTTTTTTTTTTGTTCACTCGCTTGTTTGTCTGCTTATCTGCTTGTTCCTTCGTTGTTTTTTTTTGTTTTTGTTTTTTTTTTTGTCAGTTTTTTTGTTTGCTTTTGTTGGTTTTTTTTGTGGATTTTTTTTTTTTTTTTGCATTGGGAAGGTCCACACTCCACCAAGGGGCGGTTCCACCTCCTCCTTCCCCACCCCCCCTGCTGCCCCCTGCCCCCTTCCACCCTCCCCACCCTACAGCCCACCCCTGTCTCCTCCTGCCCGTTCCTGCCCCATTTTCAGCTCCTGGCGACGGCTTCATACCGGGGTGGTCCGGCGGTTGGCTGTGTTGGTGTGGATAGAGTCCTTGTTCTCTTTCTGGATACAGTTGTGAACCTGGAGGAAACTGTTATCCCTGTCGGAGTTGTAGGTGGCGGTGGGGGTGGTGGTTGCCTTCAGCGGGTCCCTGGTCAGAGTGTACATCGAGATCTCTGTTGATGGGAGGGTGTTGAACCCTTTGATCCCGACGGGAGAGGCATCCCTGGAGTGTGAAGGCTCGGTGGAGCGGGAGCTGGAGCGACTGCGTCTCTGATAGCGGTACCGGTAGCTGGGGATGCGGGTGATGGCGGAGGACTGGAGGTAGTCCGTGGCACGAGCGTTGGCACGCAGCTGTTTGTGCCGGTCTATGAACATGTGGACAGCCAGCACTCCCACCATCTCGGCTATAATGAAGGACAGGGCCCCGAAATAGAAGGACCAGCCGTAGGAGTAGCTGTTCTTCTTGGAGTCACTCTTGGAGGGGTCTCCAGCGTTGGCTGATATGTATACGATGATGCCAATTATATTACTCAGACCTGCAAGCCATCCGGCGGGGGAGAGAGAAGGAGATGTCAGGAAGGTCACATATGGCAGCGGTGGGGGCTGTGGGGTGGAAATCCTGCCCATTCCCTCCTGGATGGGCAGTTTTCCTTGGGAAACTCAGGCAAAACCCTCGTCATGTGCCTGCTGCTTCCCTGGACTGCACTCCTGGTCCCTGAAAGATGTCAGACGTTAGGGAAACTCTCCCTCCATCAGCTCCCAAGCAGGAGGAAAGCCCCTGCCTGCCTTCCTCTGCTGGGCGAGCAGGCAGGATGGAGAAACACCCATGTGACGCTGCTTTCAGCCCGAGTAAGACTTATGAAGGCTGGGAAATGCACACACTCCTGCCTAGGCAACTGCGCCCCTGCAGACATCCTGGCTGGGCAGCCCCCCAACCCCGGGAGCCCAGCCCCGGGGCATCCCTTTACCTGCAGACACGAAGAAGATGCCGGCACTAAGGATGATGTTGTGTCGGGTTTTGTAGAACTCGCTGGCTGCAATGCAGAGTCCACCCATGAAAAGCAGAATCACGCTCAGGATCGGGAAAATACTAGAGGCTCTAACAGCCCCTGCAGAGGAGACAGAGAGGGCAGGGCAGAAAGAATAACACAGGTGTGAGAGAGAGGAATCAGGGGCATGGAAATGGCACCGGCGTGAGAGGACGGGGGCACAAGAGCACGTTTTGTGGGCGAGGAGGGGAGAGACAGACGGCAGTGTGCCGTAGGGGAGTAATTTAAGGAGAGATAAAGTCATTGGGGGAGGGAGGGAGGGAGGGAGAGAGAAACGAAGTGTGTCAGAAAAGAGTGGTCCAAAGCAACTCTCCCATGCCCTGGCCACTGCTGCTGCCACGAAGCTGGTGGTTCAGCACAGGGAGGCAGAGTGGGCTGTGGGGCTGGTGGCTGAGCTGGGAGCCTGCCGGCATTGTCTGTGCCCCCTCACGCTGTCTTTTCCTCTATTTCTGGGGGGACTGCGGGCTGGAGGGGGAGCCCAGGCACCATTCTGCTCTCCTTCTGCGGGGCTCTGCCGCTCAAGACTGCACTTCAAAGAACAGCAACCCAAATGCTTCCTGCAGAGCTGCTCAATCTCGAATCCTCCCAAAAGGGCATGAGCATCTCAAGGAGAGTTTTTTGGTTTGTTTTTTTTTTTTAGGGCTGAGAAGGAGCTTGTAGTGCCATGCACTGCTCTGCAGCTGCAGTGAGGACTGAGAAGAAAAAGTCTCAGCCGTGTGTGCTGAAATGCTGGGCTTATCCTAGTGATTAAATGACTGGGCTCCTTCCAGAGGGCAGTGATGGGTTTGGATGTGCCAGCTCCCACACACGCACACTCTCCATCGGTCGATATGGGAAGAGCTCAGCCAGCAGAGGGCAAAGGCATAGATGCACAGATGCACGTATAAGCTCATGTGTGCATGCAAAATGTACCCCAAAGCTTCTGGGGAGCCTGACTTGTGTTCACACAGCGAAAGGCCAAGTCTGTGTGTACGCACACCCACGCACACAGGCACGCACGCACACACTGCTCGTGGGCGGCTCAGTGGGAGCCAGTGCTCTGCCTCAGTCTGCGTTGCGAATATTCCTATTTTTTTTTTAACTAGGAAGGCCTTCTCTCCTCCCTTCACAAGAGAAAATAAGCTGTTAAAGTGTGAAATGAAGCCTTGCTTGATAAAGAAAGGTATCAGACGGGCTGGTGCAATTCTGCTTGAGGAGCAAAGATCTGGAAGGAGGGATGAAAACTAATCCTTCCTTGCCTGCAAGAATGAACCCAATGAAGCAAATGCAGGACTTCTTCCTAAGTGAGCAGAGACCCCGCTTCAAAGACCCTGTTGGCCTCTGGATCCTGCTAGGCACAAGCAATCAGCTCTTTGAGGGAGGCGTAACCCACTGCCTGTGCATGGGGAATGCAGAAGGCAGAGAGAAACCTCTCTTGCTTGCTTTCCAGCTCTGCCTGGCTGTGTTTCAGGGAACAGGATAACAGTAATAACCATCTTTATAGCTTCTGGAAAACAAGGTGGCATTTGACGATGGGAAGCTTAAATGGCAGGAAGCAAACGTCAAGCAGACACCCACTGTTGAGAGGGTTTCTAGGGGGATGCTTGGTCAGTCCTGCAACCTGGTCCTGACTACATCAGTTTTATCTGTGTCTTAATTCTGAAATTCACGAATGTTGGGAGAACACAGAGTTACTGACAGACATGGGAAAATGCAGGTGTCATGTGATGGAGAAGGACAGCAGCCTTCCTCAGCCTTTCAGGAGGACCATGCCAGTAAGAGAGGGGAGAATATCATCCAGTCTTCCTGGCTCCAGAGCCTGTGGCCTAAAGAAAAGGGACTGGTGATGTATGCTCCCTAAACTCATCTGTGTCTGCTAGCAAGGAAACACAGGGATGCTTTTACTTCCTTTCTGATAACAGGCATTTGATTTAAAAAATCCTAAGGCACTTTATGTGGATGGCTGGCAGAAATAATGGCTAAGCCATTCTAGCCAGGCCATGGACACTGCCCCATCACTGTCCTGGTCCCCTGGGGCATGAGGGAATTGCCTACTCTGATACTGATAAACAACTTCCTATCTGTTCCTGATGGTACCGCCAGGCATTGCCCATGCAGAGCACCCAGGGACTCCGGTTTGACAGAAGTTCTGGGAAGAAACTGTTCAGTGGGGTTCCTTTCCAGGCAGGTCTAAGCCAGCAGAAATCTCAGTTCCCTCAGGAATGACCCTTTATTGACTTGCCAAATCCCTCTTTGAACCTGGTTCTTTCTTAAAAAGGGCTCTACCCTGGGGACACTGTCAGGTCCTGACATTGGGCCAATTTTTGTCTTCAGATCTTGTTCCCTCTGAGGGAACAAACCCATCCCTCTTGAGATGTTTGGCCCCTTGTTCCAACTCGTTTTTTCTGAGGTGCAATTGATGCTGCAAGCAGCTTCCTTGCTCCCAAGCAGCTCTACAAGGGCTGATTTACCCTCGGAGGCAGCCTGCAAACCTTTGGCATCCCTGTGAAAAACTGGATCAAACCCCCTTCAGCTCTGCTGTTCAGGGACCATGCAGCAATTAAGAGACCGGTGCTGCAGAAAGGCAGCTGGAATAAGCAATCTCTCTCGGTTATTTACAATTTACAGTGGATGAAGGACTGTTTGAGAAACCAAGAGGAAGCAGCATAAGATCTGCCTCTTTTCACATACAAATGAGCCTCACAGATCCTAAATTATCTCTCTCATCCCTGCCGCAGGGCTGGGTCTCCACATCTGGCTTGGAGCACACCCGGATGACAAGGAGCTATTCTGAAAGACTCTCTTTGGAAGCCTCTGATGATTAACCTTGGAAGGTCAAAAGCACTTATCTCAGATTTCTGTTAGGAGAAGATCTCATGATGTCAAAAGACATTGGGCTTGTGGAGGCAGGGCAGGATAGCAAGGTGGAGACCTAAAAGAAGGTGTGTTCCCTGTTCAGCTGGGCTAAAGGAAGAGTAAGCTCCTGCCTCTGGGGTGGGTAGAAATGCTGGCTGGGGAGGGCAACCAGGCAGGGCAACACATGATTTGGATCTGTCCTGCTGGCCAGGGTGCTGCTGTGCAAAGCGATGTGAGCTTCACTCACACATCTCAGGCTGGACTTTGAGGTTGGGCTAAGTTTCATTACAGATATGCCATGTGCCTAGGGTCCAGCATCTCTCCTAGGGGCTCTGGGTGAGCACCAGATCTTTCCTTCAAAGGGCACTGGCTGTCCTTATTCCTGCTTCCTGCTCCCATCACTGAAACCAGCAAAGACCAGATCTGCAGCCTCTGTAGGGAAACGGTGTTGAGGGAAGGGTGAAGACAGCAATAAGAGCTCCTCAGACAAAATCCACCTAATTTCTTAAGTCTGGTGCCACTGGAGTATCAGACAAGGAAATATAAACTTCCTTTGCTTTAGGAGGACATACACGCACACAGACACACACACAGACACACACACACACTGCCCCAGTCTGACCTTAGGCGCAATCAGCAGCTTTTCAGTGGATTTGAATTAAGACTCTGATTTTATATCACAATTAATTGCTGCTAATAAAACAACCAAACCATTGGTTGTTACTGTGAATCTGAATTTGCACTGTCTCATGGGCAGGTCCCCTGGGACGTCAGAGTGGAGTAATTTTTAGGGGATGGCAAGGCTCTGGGATTTCCACTGAGCCTCACAGGTCCCAGTGCGTCCACCACCCTGTGTTCAGAAAACAAAAGGCGCCCGACGCTAGAACCTACGACCCATTGCAAAAAGAGCCTGCGGACTTACGGAGGAAATATTCTGCTGTATCGGCTTCATAATCTGCATCCTCAGGGAAGTGATCGATTTGCTTACACAGACCTTTAAAATTCCCTAGGGAACAAAAGAAAAAAAGAACAAATGAGAACACCAAAACCTGCCTTGCAGGAACAGCTGCCCTCTGTATCACCTTTTGTGCCTGCTTGCCTTCCCCCCAGGCAGCGTGCCCACTCGTGTGTGCATGCCTGGGAAATGCCTGGGGCCTCTCCTTGCACACTCGCACGTGTACCTCCCTTGTATTTGCACAGGAATGTGGGGTTTGCTGTCAGGATCCAGCCTGATGCCCAGCACTCCACAGAGGAGAGCACCAGAAGCTCTATGACTCCTGCTGCAGACAGGCCAGAGAGCACTGCCTGGGAATGGGAGCCAGATACTCAAAGCACAGTACAGGTGTCAGGGTCCCCTCCCTGAGTTACATCATCACACCTCACTGTTTCCCTTGGTGTGGCCTCGGTGGCTCCCAGCAGTGAGGGGATCAGGGCAGGATCATTAGGTCTAAGTTGTCAAAGTATTTGTTTCTCTCAGCTGTGAATTTGCTGCCCTCTCATTCCGTGGGCAGGATACATCCCTTTGTTCTGGTTTGGTGTGAGAACAAATCCCTTAGTCTACTTTCTCCATATGACTGCTTGTTTTTGCATGCTTTTGTCAGGCCTCTTGTGTCCTCTCACAGACTGAGGCTACAAGAAGCTCTGTGCATGTATATGTATGCAGCTCAACAGCAAAACACCCTTTTGCTGGGGGAGCAAAATCTTCTGCTATAAGTGAGGGAAGCTGAGCTGGACACAGTTCCTTCAGGCTGGTGTATGTACAGGGCCTTCTCCTAGTTTCAGTCATGGGGCACCTTTTTTCACACACTCCATGACCAACAAGGCCATCCCAGCAGGGGGCCAGGGACATCTTCCAAGTCTTTTGTTGGCTGGGATGTTTACCAGACTCTTATTTTCATCACTCATATCTTTTCTTGACATCAGGAGTACCACTCCAGAGAGGTACTCCTCAAGCCACATCATAATTTTCACTATGACCATTGATGAATTAGTATTTCAAATGATCAGGTTGTCCATTCTTGTACAGGGTTGTCCATGTGAAAGACAATTTCATTCTATCTCTTGGGGCTCCCACAAATTTTTTCTCCTACTTTCCATTCCATTTCCCTCTGGGCACTCACACTGACTGGCCATTAACACAGAACTGATGGACATAGTCTGTCCAGAAAGGAGAAATACATTGTCTGCATGAGGTGTGTGGTAGGCATGGTGATCCCGTGGGCCTCCTTACCAGAGTTCAACCAACAATGTGACCCAGGCTTATTGATCCCTCAGCAGAAGCATTTGGAGCATTGTCTGAAGAGTGACAAATGCTGTGGCAGCCTGGGTAAGCCTCCTGCCACCTTGACCCTGAACCCAGCTTCTGGACCAGCTGGTGTGCAGGGCAAGGGGAAAATGAAGCCACCACACTTGAGGCTGTTGCCTCTGGGAAGAGCAACAAAGCTCTTCCAGACCAACCCTATCCAGGCTGAGACCTGCAGTCACCATGTCAGGTCCCCAGTCATGTCTTGGAAGGCCTATTCCACATGAATTTGAATGATCTTTCAGATATCTGTAAACAGATGGAAGAAGGACCAAGCTCAGAGGATTCTACCTGAGATTTTTCTTGAGGCCAAGCCTTGACAGATTAATGTTTGGGATGCTTTGGGAGGCAATCCTGAGTAAATAGCTGAGTAAATGGAAGGCAGGTAGGTGGGTTCCTTTAGGTCAACCCCCAAGTTTGGCTTCTTCTGCATCCATCTGTCTTGTGTCTGATGTCTCCAAGTTACCTATTGCAATTAGCTACTCATTTGAAGAGCTTGCATGAAGAGACTAGAGACAGCAGAGAGGAGTGTGTGTGTGCATTAAGAGGTAAGTAATAGGAGAAGAAAGTAGGAACAAAGCCTCTCTGTGTAGCTCTGACATACTATTCCCACACTGAAACTGTGGGTTATGAAAGATTATTAATCACCCATCCTCAATCCAGTTACCTCATTCAAAAAGTGTCTGCTTCTGAGCCATGACTCTTCTGGAAAGAAAGCTTCATAACCAAGTAAATTGCCTTGGCACATTTCCACCCTGCTACTTGCCCACTAAAATCCCTATGAGGTAGGCAGATACAGCATGAAGGGGGTCCTTTCCCTTGCTTGCCCCTGACTGCCTGGGGCCATCTGCCTGTGACAGATGAGCAGCTCCTCATCCTGGTCCTTTGGCTGCTGTCACTGCTGTATAGTGCATGTGAACACTGGCACACTCCAGGGCACAGGGGAGGTCTCCAGCTTCAGGTTTCAGTTCCTTGCCCAGCAGATCCTGAACACTGAGTTCCTCCTGCCTGTACATGCTGGGGGAGCAGGCAGAACCTGCATACACCTCCCAGGTGATGTTCCTGGCACACAGCCAGAGCCTCTCAGTTGGAATCAGCCAGGGAGGGAAGATGCAGTGCATCTGGAAACCCCCTCACCGTGTGACATCCTTTCCCTGCTTCCTTTTTTTTCCCCTCTCCCCCGCTCTGTTTCTTGCTGAATTTGAGACTGATTAATTCCTATGTAAAGAATTGAGCTGCTTGGGGAAGATGCTGCATCTGGTGCAGGCTGTCTTTTATATGGACTTGCGTGGGATAGCTGGTTAGGGGTTCAGTCGTGTATAGGCAGGCTGAGGCTTTCTGAAAATCTGCTCCTGGTGCTCAGTGTCCCAAAGGCTTTGCTGACCTGGCTCAGCAGGGCACTTGGCCATTGGAGTGGCCAGCCTTGGCTTGCTTAAAATGCTGTGACATTGTGGAGCTGCCCTTCTCCACAGGCTGATATGCTGTGCCATGTTGATTCCCCTTCCTGGATCAACCCTACCAGAGTTCATGAAGGCAGCACTGATCCCACTTTAGCCCCTGCTTTGTCTGTGCTCAGCACAGAGTGCTGTGGGTTTGGATACTGACTGTTTGCCTGTGCTACCACACCCTCTCCTCCAATGCCTCCTAGTTCCTCTGGGCGATGGATGGGGAAAGGATGCAGAATTTAGGTCATTAATGCGCTAACTGGGAATATAAAAGAACAAGATTCAGTTTTTGCTCTGCCACAGGCGTGCTGTTAAAACCACTTCTCTCTGCCTCAGAGTCCCACCCTGTAAAATGGGGGTGACAGCACTCCTCTGCCTGGTGCCGTACGGGGACGTGTTAAACAGGGCATGGTGTGGGTGTGCTGGTGCCAGCAGCTCCGAAAGTGCGTGGAGTAGGTGGCAGCGGTTCAGAAACCTGCTTGGTGTGGGGAAGGCCTCGATGTCACTTCTTGTGCCAAGGTCACTCGGCAATTCTCTGACGGACATCTGTGGCCTGCTGAGATGGTACAGCAGCTTCCCTGGCACCTGTGCTGGTGGAAGCACGGAGGGGGATGGAGCAGCTCAGCAGTGCTGCTGAGGTCTGACACAACAGCCTTTTCTTGTGCTGTACATGTGGTCTGCGGAGCCAGGGATGGTGAGAGCCATGTGCCACCCTATAGTTAATACTCCTGAACGCCTGAGCAAGATCAAATCATTATGTGGGAGAGCATGTAGAGCTCTGAGAACCCCTCCAAGGAAGTAAGAGCAACATCTCCTCTCTACTTGAGTCCCTTTGCCCTTCCCATTCTTCCCAACTCAATGTATTTCATGCTGTAAACCTTGAAACAGGGCATGTGTCTCTGTCTTCTTCCATACGCCTCTCTGAGAAATTTAAGCCACATGCTTCCACCTCCTCCCTGCAGCTCTCCCAGTGCAGTTTGGGCTCTCCCCTCATCCTTGCTCATGTTCACCCATCAGATCTTTCTCCTGTTTCTCAGTCCCTCTCACTCATGACAGCCACCTCCCTCTCTCTGGCGTATCAGTGTGGGCATCCTCCAAACTGCCTGCTTTGGGATGTGCAGGCTGCAAAGAAGGTGGGGATGATCATCAGCCTGTTTCAGGACAGGAAAGCTGCAGATGCCTAGGTTCATGGAAAATCACAGAGCAGTCCTCACATCCCTTGTGCGTTACTGGGAGTCATTAGGCAAGATCACCACCGTTTGCTTGTTGCCTACCCCAACTTTGGAAAACGCAGTTTAGAAAAGCCAGGATTGGTGCAGTAGGCACCCCTCCAGTGCCTGGCCAAGGACAGAAGTTGCCCAGTTGGGTCATTAGGAGCAGAGAGAATCTCTCATACTGCCAAGAGGGACTAAATGTCTAAGATGCATGAAATTCAGTGTCAACTGTGCATTCATCTCTGAGAGACCTCCTCCAGTGTGTCAGGATCATTGTTTGGGTATAAGCTGTCTATCCAGGACAGCTGGCAGCCGCCAGCCCTGCTGCAGCAATACTCAGACTCAGCTACCCCCGATGAGAACCCGGCTCGGTATTGTTGGTGATACAGTTTATTTTTATGCTGCTTTGTGCAGCCCTGTCTCTTTCAGAAGTCTTGCTTGCCTGCAGAGTACACTCCATTGCAAAATAGTAAGTTCCAAAGAATGAAAAGCTACTCCCTTCCTGCGAGGTAAGAACACTTTTAAATGGTCAGGACCATACATCTGAAAACTGCAAGCCAGAGGCAGAGGAAAAGACATCCAAAAGGAGAGAAGCAGACAAAGAGGGACGAGAACAGAAAGACCTGTTTTCCCAGAATGATTTGTGATATTTCCATTTATGGAGAAAAGCAATTCACTGAAAGCTTTTCTTCAGCCTCACTCTCTAATTTAGCAGAGGTTTTGGCATGATAGCTTCCAGAGAAATAAATAAAGGGGGCTGGATATAGCTGTTGTCTCTAAAAGCTGAGAAAGATGGCTTGGTGTTGGCCAAGGATTCAGTATCACTTTCCATCACACACTCCCTGTATCATTTTAGGCAAGCTACTTACCCCCCCACCCCCTTCACTCAAAATGGGAATAATAGTATTTCCCTGCCTCAGGAGAGTAGGCTGAGGATATTTGTATTAAAAATATGAGAGTGATCAGACACTCGATCATTTGGGCCAGATAATTCTTCCCACCATTTAGTTCAAATGTAACTGCTCATTTTTCATGTGATCTTCTG